CCCCTCATGATTCGCTAAAACAATGGCTCCATAAAATTCCTTCTGTCTATTGGTTGGAACCCGTTCATTTTGTTTTAATAGGGGGGGTTGGACTATACTATCTATACCATTTTTTGTAAATAAGGGGAGCCATACTAGATCTAGATTAGATCTAAGTGTTCCGTTCCGTTCTTGCGCTCGTGACTCGACTCGCAACTCAGCAGTAGGTTACAAACAAGCCACAAGGTGGTGATAGCGACAGGGGAGTGAATCGAGAATCGGAAAGCTATACTGTTCCACTGAGGTCTGAAGTGAATCGTATTCCGCAGGCAAGAAGAGTGGCGATTCAGTTCCGTTATCGCGACCCAGCTTTACCACACGCAGTCACTCTGAGTGCGTGGTTTGGTTAAGCGCGTGTAGTAATCATGGGTCTAAACAGGTGGTCTGGTAAAGTACAATCCAGCAACAACAACAAAAACCACAACAATGCTGCTACTTTCGATTGGGACCTCAGATGGGAATGGTTTGTTTTCTTCATCTTGACCAGTCATGCCAAAGTAACGGCCACCTGTCTTATATGGCCACTTTTCTCCTGGAAAACGGGTGACCGTCTTAAACAGGTTTGACTGTATCATCAAAATCCTGTAAGAATGGTATTCATTAGCTCCAAAAATACGCAAACAAACAAATAATCATTCACAATACCTTCGGAGAGTGAGACCATGCATCTTGAAAGCAGACACAATCGCACTCTTGAGCTTTGCGGCCATCTTGTTTTTACCGCCAAATATACAGTACAATCTAAACTATACACCGACTCCTTTCTCACTCAGAACAATCTTAGCCCTCACTTAAAGTAATCAAATATTTTTCAATGAACATTAACATATGTCACAACACGACTTTTGAGCTATTTTATCTGAATGTATCAAAACAAAAATTCAATAATTAAACAAAAAGCTACGTATTTATCCATTAGAATTGCCTAGATTTTCATGTTGTAAAGTCTAGCAGTAAGAAATTGAGACGAAGAAAGAAATATTCCTCCGCCTGGAAGATTATGTGAACTCATGTTTAGATATATACGGCTCTGTAATAAACTTTTTGTGGTGAGAATAAATGTATTTTTTCTTTGAGTTGATTTGGTATAATAGTATACAAAATCCATGAACATCTTTGGGTAACTGGTAGGACTGTCTAGACCTATATGTTTGTAACCCATAGAAACCAACATAGCATTTTTGACGGTGATTTGGTTCGGTTTGTCAACAACACCGTGTGCTTTTCAAGACATCAAGAACGAACGCAGTGGTATCGGGGAGCAACCATAAATTTGAAAATTTTATTATGGCAGCATCACAGGAGGAGCTCCGTCTTGGTGAACAGAGAGAGACTTGGTGTGCTGTTGAACGAATGAAAGAAGAAGACTGGTGTCGGAAACAAAGGGGTCATATATCACGTTATCAGGAGGAAATGGCAAGTGATATTCACCATGCTCAAACCGACGAAAAGCAACATCTGGAACCACGGTGTACTTTCGCACCCGACAAACCAACCCATAGAGAACAAAGGCATTACCCCAAGATTCATAGTATGTTCCAATATAGTTGATTTTGCTATCTATCAGAAAATAAAAGAGGAGGTACAATAAAGTAACTTACTAGATTCTAGATCTACTTGATATCATAAGTGAACTAACAAACTGTAGCTAAAACTTTACTGAAAATACTTTCTCTTTTAGGTTACAACATCTTTTTTAAGAGAGCACAACATGATATGACAATAATTTAAGCAAAATTCTAGCGTCTAGAGTTCATTTAATTACATTTCACTTTAGACAAGGACACAGCGGGAAAATACCCCCGCCCCCCCCTTCCAAATTACAACAGCCATAGTTTCTTCTTTAAGCTCTAAGATTTTTAAGGTTCTGTTACTCACTTTCTTATCCCTTAGTCTAAGACTGTTGGGGCACCAAGGATGATCGGGCAAACACTTTTTTTCATCCTTCTCTATTGACAGCCAATTTCAATCAAAGTAGGTATCGTAAACACGGCCTCGCGGGCGTTTGTGGCCTTCAGAGTACGTGGTTTAGGTGAAATTGGGGTAATTCAGATCGCTGTTTCTTTGCTCTTTTGTTATAAAACACCAAAGACTGACCACCTTGTCAAAGTTCAGCTTTTCCTTGTTACAGTGGTGAAAGTTGTTTATGTCCGATTATTAGGACTGGAGAATTGCCATGGAAAGCGAAGCCCCTCGCGGTTGGAATGTATGGTCGGCAGGTTAAAAAATGAACATGTGTGCATTCAAATGCTCCAAGGAAGGATTGATGATAAAATACCACCGTTTCATTGGGGGAGAACTGTAGAGCTTTGAAAGGGCTTTCCCGTGGTATGTTTTTGGCCTTTGGCGTTTAAATAGAAAGCCTTTAAAAATACTGTCAAAGTTTCCAAAGATAATTTTTTACGCAAAATATGTAAAATACCGGCTCGGAAAAGGTACCAATAGAAAGATCAGTTCATTTTCTATTGGAATAAAGTATAATCAGCTTGGAATTATTTTGCACCAATCCTTTCGCGAAACTTGGAAAGCATGTGACCCCCCACCCGGGGATCACTCAGTACACTACAGTAGAGAGCCGACTCACTCGCTGCGGGGGCCGGTCTGGCGCTGGCCGTGTCAGGGTTTGGTGTTTTTGTCTAAATAACGACAGATCATCGTGTTTGAGGCGCTACTGATTTGTAATGATCTCACACTCAGTCTTGATAAAAATTAGGCTCCATCTCTACATTATAGTGATTGTACTCTGTTGTTAATGTTGAGATAGTTGGTGCACTTGGTACTCTTTTACTATCTGTCAAACACGGGGTAGCAGCCAGTTAGCAACTAAGCAAATTTGATCATATTGAAAACAGCTACCATTTTCTTAAAAATTTACCGATTGGTTAGAGAATGGCATCAAAATTCTCAGGAGCCTTTCACATGGAACACATAAATTTGGCAATACAGCTACTTTAAAAATTTAGTTTCTGGTATCTAATCAAAGGGCTTCACCCAACTTTAAGTCTGTCTATTCTGTTATATTGTCTTCCCATCACTTTTTCTGTCTGCTTTTCCTTCTCCCGCCTTGTACAGGGCTCTGCTGGATCATCTTTCCAAGTCCCATAAATCTTGTTATGTGCCAGTACCATTTCAGTTTCTAAAGAACTAATATTAGCTTACTTCTTATTTGGGCGCCATCAAAATGGTGTTGCACATTCTGCTACAAATACCTGGATCTGTGCTGCAGCCTCACAACCTTTTCTAGCCCATTGCAGGTTAACCAAGAGATTTGTTGCTTACAAAGAGTAAGAGTACAATTGAAAAAACCCCAACAGTTTTCAAATTTCAGGAAAAGCAAGTTGTTCTATAGAGGTTTAAACATTTGCTACACAAAAAACTTTCAGGGTAAAAAGGTTTGTATCTAAAAGGAAAGTTAAAAGATAATCTGTTACTTTGAAATGGTAGGTCTCTTTTAGTTTGTACAATTTAGAAAATGCATTGTTTACTGTAGCTCATAGTAAAAATGAAGAAGGGTCCACATAGCTGGGTTATTTCAATAGCCAGTATGTATTGTGCTTTTCAACTTAACTGTGAATAAGTCATTTTATACAGTGGAGTCTGCTTCAACCGAAGATGGTTTTATTAATCTGAAAATGGTAAACCGAAAGAAACTACAGTATAATCCATTTATATCGACTGCTGATGTATCGACATTTTGACATATTTTCCAATTATAACATTTTTTCTTTAATATCTTCACTAAACAATTTCTCTTATATCGCCTTTTTTTCGGCCCACTCTGTTTTATCGACATGTTTCTTGGGTACCTGGCGAAGCCCCCGAACATAAATGGGGGGAAAGGCAATGCTAACGGTCAACGCATTAGTTCATCATTAAGTCTGCATACCCACCAAGTAGCTTATTTGACACACAGGGCTTTAGTAGGTCATGTAGGGCCTACACAGTGTAGTCTCCAACACAGTACAGTGCCTCACAGACGTGAGCGTCTCGCGCGCTGGACATCACCTTCCTACTACCACTCCCGATCACTCACTCCCCTTCCCCATCCAATTCTCAGTCTGTCGCTGGCAAGTGCCACAGTCAGTGAGTCAGTACCTCGCCTTTCCATTTTCCTCAGCAAGCGGCCATAAACAGGCCTTACAAGGATGCTACAACAAAGTTTGCGCTGGTGTGTAGTGTGTGGCTCATGTTGCTCGGTCTTTGGTACCGTAACTCCAATTCCCCCCTGCCTCTTGTTAGTTTCACAGTGTAGTCAGAGAGGGTTTACAGTAATAGAGAGGTGACACTCGAGGCGGCGCTCCATTACAACAGTGCATTGTTTCGGGTATCGCCCGGCGCGAAAACACTTGCGCGCGGTGATCGCTGCCTCGTCAATGCTCAGGGATGCTGTCATGTCTTGAGAAAATATAGTACCGTCTGTAGTTAGTTCACTAGGTTACTAGGCCTTTAACAAAGAGGCCTGTGAATTCTTTCGCATATTTTAGGCAACCCCCCCTGCCTCCCTCGGCCATGCCATAAACTGTAAGACTTGTTTTTGGCTTAAGTTAACATACATTCTAATAAACAAATAGACGCAGATGCATTACTTCATCTTTATAGATCTGAAAAAATAATATCCCCGTAATTAAAGGGATAATCGGTTTAGTTTTCCGCAAATCTACTCGTTCTCCAGTGTCCCTCTGTCATCTCTCTCTCCCTCTCTGTCGGTCTGTCTGTCTATCTTTTTTTCTCTCCCTGTCTCTCTTTCTCCACCCTCTCTGTCTACCTGTCTGTTTATCTCTATCTGTGTCTCCCTTTCTCTGTCTCTCTTCCTCCCCTCTATTGCTCTGTCACTCCCTCTCGCTCTGTCTATCTGTTTTGCCTGTCTGTCTGTCTGTCTTTCTCTCTCCCCTGTCTCTTCTTCTCCCCCTTCTCTCGCTCTGTCTATTTGTCTGTCATTCTGTCTGTCTGTCTCTTTCTCTCTCTCTCTCCCTCTGTCTGCCTTTCTCTCTCTCTCTCTTTTTCTTTCTCTATTTCTCTTTTTCACTCCCTCTCTCTCTGTCTATCTGTGTGTCTGTTTATCTGTTTTATCTTTCTGTCTCTCTTTCTCTCTCCCCTGTCTCTTCTTTTCCCCCTTCTCTCACTCTGTCTATTTGTCTGTCTGTCTGTCTCTTTCTCTCTCTCTTTCGCTCTGTCTGTCTGTCTCTGTCTCTTTCTCCCCCCCCCTCTCTCTCCCTTTCTCCCCTCTCTCGCTCTGTCTATATATGTCAGTCTGTCAATCTGTTTCTCTGTCTCTGTTTGTTTGTCTGTCTGTCTCTCTCTCTCACACACACACAAATTCTCACAATTTCAGATCATGGAAAAGCACATGAAGCAATAATGATAAATCTACCACTTAAAAAGTTTAATAGGACCCTATAACCTCCCCCCCCAAAAAAAAACAAACAACCCAAAACAAAACAAAAGTGGTAATCGGACAAAGAAAGTAGCAAAACGGATCGATGGCACTTTGTATTTATACAACTTTTCGCTGACCCAGGTAAGATGTCTTTCACTAGTAGAATGCAAGCTCAATTTGGGCATTTAGACAGGAAAACCCCCCCCAATTTATAGCTGATATGTTATAACAAAGTTGAAGTGTGTTGAGTTTGTGCATGGAGTGTCAGTCTGGTAGGACCACAATCACATTCATTGTCATTATTTTGATCTATATTTTTCTATTCATCAAAATATATTCATCATCCTTTGGAAATCGAAAGAAACTCAAATTTTCATTTTAATAGGTGCAGTTTATAGCAGAAGACCATTGACATTTCGTATTAACCGGGGCCATGCTGGTCGGCGATCAACGAAAATGTCTTGACGAATGGACGCAGTTTGTTTTGTTTACCGCGTGTTTCTCCACGATC